CGAAAATTCCTTACTTCGAAGCTGCAGTCACATACCAAAAAATCGAAACCATTTGGTACAGCATCATATATCCATAACCCCCTAATAGTCATATTCAATCTCTGGTTTTGATTTGAAGTAGTCAATTCAAATCCCTATGTAGGCATTAACAAAACAGTGAGAATATGACTATTATGTGACTAGGATGTGTATAACAGTGTAATTAACATACTGTAGAAGCATAATTATTAAGATAACAGTAAGAATATGACTATTATATGACTGTGCTTTATAAAACATCTACAACAACAAACAAGGTATCCTTATCCACCCAACATATTTAATAATGAAAAATAGTGAGATTTATGAAACCTTTTCATTGTATTTAGCACGTGGTTGCTTGTTTGCATATCCTCTTTCAACAAAGTCTGGTGTGTAGATCATTTTCAAAGTAGAATCTCCTCGTGATCGTGAGACCATTATTGGTCTTGTGTTTCTAACTGAAATAAAACAAATACAGGTTCTCCTTCAAAAGAACATCATACATAAAACTATAATTCAATAAGAAACATGATTTTCAAAAAAATCACAGACATATGATAGTAATACCTGAAAAGCAAGACGACTTGTACACCAGTAAATGAATTAACCATTGAAGGCAGTCAGTGGATCCATCCTTGTTTAAAGTAGCCGTATATTTGAAAATGCCGCTGTTAAGTGTATATTTTTACACTTAAACATATCTTTTAATTGGAGTTTTTGGTTTATTTTATTGATAATTGGTGCTTAAAATGTTGATTTATTGTGTTTTGGGTACAAATTAAAGAATTGGATAAATATGGGGTCAAAACTGCAATTTTAAAGAAAATATGGGCGAAAAGTGAAGAAGTCAACAATCTGAAGAATAAGAGCCCAGACGGTCGTCCGAGAACTACACTAGGATTTTGGACGGCCGTCCGAATATTTTCATGAGAGAACAAAGTCTCTGGAATTGAGACGGCCGTCTGGAAATTGAACTGCAAATCCAGACGGCCGTCCGAGAAGACGTAGAGGCGCAGTAAAGTGATTCTAATTACACTAGGAAACTACCTTTTTCTCCAAGTTTTCCACCCTATATAAGACCAAATCAATCACACAACTGAGGATCGATCTTTTTACGCAATTTCAAGAGCAAAGAAGCAATAACGAAGACGAGAATTTGAAGACTCCAAGTATAGTTTTATCTTCTATGAATTATTTTAATTTTGTTTTTACTTTAATCATGAGTAGCTAATTCGTTTATTTCAAGGATTTTATTTTGAACCCTATGTGGGATTTATGAACCAAATTCTATGATTTTATACAAGTTTTAATTCCAGATTATTCCTTCTACTTGTTTTCTTAAGTTCATGAAACTGGCCACTTTATGTGCTTTTATGTTATTGTTAATCGCATGAATCGGAAGATCGGGTTAATAATTAGAACTGTGGTAGAAGAGCCTTTGTGGTATTAACATATGAATATAGTTAATCTCTTAGGTAGCCATTATTGAGATTTGTTCTAGAATTAATTGCGTAGGAATACAGTAATTGAATCTAAAGTATTAGAATCGTAATACACGCGGAAGCGGGTTATGAGTAATTTAGCATCTCAGGCTAATAATTCGAGTTAATCACTTGCATAATTGAAGGAATTGGGGGATTAATAATCACATAGGGGGGAGAATAAAATCCTAGGCTTGCTTTCTCTGATTAAATCTTCGTTTTAAATTGCTTTCGTGTTCTTGTCTTTTTAATTTACTTTAATTGCTTTAGTTTAAGTTAATTTATTAATCCTCTTTCGACTGTGTATGATGAGCTTGATACTAATTGGTAGGATTTAGCGTCTAGGATTCGATAATTGGTTACAATTATTTTACCGTCGACGACAATAATATAATTACGTTGACTTGTCAACAAATCAAACAAAATAAAATATAATAAAAAACCAAAAAAATAATAAAATTGTCGCTGACTGTAATTGTACTGTCAACGACAGTACAACTACGATAATGTACTGTCAACGACAATGCAATTACTGTCAGCGACAGTTAATTACTGTTAATGACGTCTAGCGGCGGGCGTAAAAAAAATGATAAAAATTTTAGAAAAAAAAACATTAAAAAAAGTCAACATCGAAAACCGGAAGCAAAAAACGAATTTCAGGAAAAAAAAGTTTAAAAAAAATCAAAATTGAATTTTAGTGGTAAAAAATGATTAAATTGGGGTTAGAATTAAGAATTAAGTGTAAAGGGTTGGGAAAAATTTTGTCATATACATTAATTTTTCTTTTATTTATAATATGTATTAAAGGGATGGGCTTATTGGGAAAGTAGTCAAATTCCCAAAAACCCCAAAAAACAATTGCGTCATTTTACGGAATAAAAATTATAGATTAGCATTAGTGCAAAGATAGTTGTGGTAAAATAGAACCTCACTTATCAGCCACCCATTCATCTTGTAATTCACTACCAATCCCAGACAATCAAACATCCAATTAAACATTACTAAACAATCAATTAGTCCCTCCTCATTTTATTTGTCTCAGCCCAGACAATCAAACAACCAATTAAATATTACTAAACAATCAATTAGTCCCTCCTCATTTTATTTGTCTTTCTAGAGAATGTTTTTTTCTTTTTCAAAGTAATTGTCACTTTATAATTTCAATAAAATATTTATTGATTTTTTCTCAAATTTGTCATCAGTAATCTTAAGAAAATTAATGGTTATACAACTAGTGAGAGTGGTTTTTTAGTCATTTATTATGATTTTTCTAAAATCCATGAACATTTATTAGTTTTTTTAATACGTGAGCATTATGTCACGGGCTGCCCATTTTGTATTGGAACCAAGGAATGACAGTCGACCCATCAAGCGAGCCCAAGATGAAGGGAGCCCAATTAAGCCCAAGAGCGGATGATTCTAGAAAATCTTCTAGAATCTTCCATTAATTTAGAGATCCTTGGAGGATCTTCCTTTGTATATATATGGTACGAGTTTGTAGGACTTAATCATAGACTTTAGATCAAGGTGATCACCACCATTCATTGAGAAGATGGAGTTGTATAAATAGAGGTGGGCGCGTTCATTTGTAATCATCCAATAATTCATTAATCAAATAGTCTAAAGCTTCAGAGCATTTATTAGCATTCTCCAACACTAGTGTTCTTTCACAAACACTTGCACATACTCTTGTGCACTTTTGAGTGAGGCTGACTTAGCTTATTTGCGATGGGCGAAGATCAAATTAGCGTAAAAGGACGGTAATTCGTGGCAAGTGTCGCATGATACTTGATCGAGGTTCAAGGAAGAATGGAGTATTAATCAACTGCTTAAACATGACTATACATGACAATCAATCAACCGTGGGTATTGGAATACAAGGACAGTGATCGGACACGTCTCACTACTAAAAAAACCGCAAACGAGTTTGAAAGTTTTAAAACAATCATGGTATAATATTTACGCTTCAACCGACATTATATTAAGTAGAATGTAAATATACAATACAAAGCTAGGAGATTCAGAGAGGCTACAAGATATTCATAGGACGACAATTCCTCAAACCATTTTTTTCAGAAAGACAAAAAAAAAAATTATAATATTATTCTCATGTCAAACGTACTGAATCTCCAATGGTATGACCAAATTGATCTCAATTCTCACCAAAAAAATTAAATATACAAATATAGGAAGATATACTTTTAACATAATCCTAACTATTTTATGAACTGTTTTCCTCAAAAGTTACTTCTTCTTTATTGGGAAGCTTTGCAAATATAGGAAGATAAACTTTTAACATAATCCTAACTATTTTATGAACTGTTTTCCTCAAAAGTTACTTCTTTATTGGGAAGCTTTGCAAATATAGGAAGATCAACTTTTAACATAATCCTAACTATTTTATGAACTGTTTTCCTCAAAAGTTACTTCTTCTTTATTGGGAAGCTTATTCAAATCGAACCCACGATCAGCAACTACATTCACATCAAAACTTTTTACAAATTTTTGATTCGGAGGGGACAATCGAAAAAGCTTCAAAATTATAATTTTTGAAGCGTTGAATGAACATTGACATTTCTTCGATCCTCATTGAGTTCTATGGAAAACTTTATTTATTTTGATGTGGATGGCAAGCAAACCTATATTCCTTCCTTATAATAAGCGTTTTTTTATCTACTATTATCTAAAAATAATAGTTATTAATGACTGGACGAAACTAAGAAATATTTAGGGTTCGAGTCCCCCTCCCATACTTCTCCTTGTAAAGAACTTGAATTTATTAAAAAAAAAAAAAAAAAAAAAGCAAAGAATTCCATGTTGGATCGAAGCTAGATTAATAGTGAATGGTATATAACCAAAAAAACATAATACTCCCTCCATTTTATTTTAATTTTCTTTTTGGGCAATTCACACATATTAAGAAAACTAATAAATGTGTATGGATTCTAGAAAAAATCATAATAAGATGACTAAAAACCACTTTTATTAAATGTTTAACAATTGGTTCTCTTAATGGTAATAAGGGCATGGTTGAGAAAATGTTGGATGTATTGCGAAAGTATATGTGAACAAGATTAACAAGGAAATAATCGAGGAGTCCGTATCTCCTTGCTAACTAATCTAGGCATAAGTAGTACATGCATCATATTAAATATATTCATCATGAATCCTAAATATACATGTATCTAAGTATTCATGTACTTGTCTATTCATGTATCCTATCATACATTGTACATGCATCATTAAAATTTCAACAGAAAACACAATAAATATTTCATTGAAATCTTAAAATTACAATTATTTTGAAATAAAAACAATTCTCTATGTAAACAATATTACCACATTTGTTATATGATCTAGAACTTTATTTGGAGATATTCACATACTCGACTGCTAAACAATTGAAAATCAAACAACTTAGAAACCAAGTTGTAAGAAAACCCATAAAAAAGAAAAAAAAACAATATTCATCAACAATGAAAAATCCAAACCAAACACTCATGCCATGCAAAATAATCCCCTCAAATTATTTCTCTTCTGAGTTTGATTCTTCCCCTTCTTCGTGACATTATTATTACGACTCGATGAGCGACTCGATGAGCTATAATCACCACTCGCATTGTGACTCAGAATAATCCTCTTCTCATTCCTCAACTCATTGATCACTTCCCTCTTCTCATCGTTCCTTCTTATCAACTCAGCCTGCGTCGACAAATTCTCCTCCAACAGTTTCGAAAACTTTATCGGTTCGTTACTCCAACTTCTCTCACTACTCCCAATTTCTTTCTCTCTCCTAAAAACAACCATCTCATTCTTGTCACTATAATACTCACTATCCTCGTTTCTCATCGAATAATTATTACTCGAATCCACTGATAGTACTGGCGTGTCGTTCTTCGGTGACTCGTGTCCAAAACTGGACGTGCCCGATTCATCAGAACGTGCAGCTTGTTCTGCCGAAAACTCTTCGACCGATTCGGAGTTGAAATTCGGTGGCTTGATTGGAGATAGATTACGCTTGTGCTGAAGGGACTGCAATTTTCTGAATGAATCGGAGAGGGAGCCGTTATTAGTATTATTATTGTTTGATGCTTTGACCGAAGATTGATCGGATTTGAGCTGGTCGTATTTATCGGCTAAAGAGCGGTACGATTTGTGGAGTTCTTGTACCATTTTGATTAGCTGCGGTTTCTTTTCGTAGTACATTTCGGCTCTCTTGGCAAATGTTTCTCCGTCGTCTTCGATTAGGTCTAATATCATCTTTATCTTGTCGTCCAATTCTGTTCATAGATATTGAATTATCTTTATATCAGCATAAATAATCCCCTTACATTAACCAATTTGTTTGCGTATCGTATGAGTCGTTTCGATCACAACAAGATATTTACTTAGTTAAACCTCTTTAAATTAATACAGTCCTAATAAAATTCTATTAATTTAACAGAAATATCAAATTATCGAACTAATAATTTAATATGTTTTTACTGAGTTGGGACCGGGAGAAAGTATTATTTAAACGATGTTATTAATTTAACATAATATTAATTTATGGAGGTTCTATTGTATATAAAAAATAAATCGAGAGATTTTATAACAATTAGAATTAACAGTAATCAACAAAGTTTAAATGAATAATCTAGGGTTTTTTTTTTTTCTTTTTTTTTTATGGAGAAGAGTGCATTATCTGCATAAGGAAAACTCTATAGAGTGTGTATTTAAAAGAACCTGCTAGAGTGGAGTGGAGCCATTGGGAGTGGGGAGGGCGATTGCGGCTGTCCGACCACCGTGAAAACGGAGATGGCGGCGGCGGCGGCTGCTCTTCCTCCACCTCCGCCGTGCTGTTACTATTGTTCTCCATTAAAACAATTATACGAACCCTCCGCCTCAATAATTATAAAACTATTATAGAAAAATTAACTTTTATATCTCTCTAGTTTGATACTACGAGGGTTTGGTGGTAAATACGAGAAAATAAATAAATTGTGATTTATTTAATTTATTGATTTAAGTGTCCTACAATTATGGAATCTTGCATTAGTCGTCATCCTAATTTTTAGACGCAATTGGTGCCTTGATCTTTGCACTTGCTACAAAACTTAAAAGTTAAAAACTCTATATGCAACAAAACCCCCTTTTTTTTTTTAATTGAATATATTTTAGTTTTGTTATTTTGTCCATCTATATATTATATAATATAAAATAAGATTTATAGCCTCAATAAATGACACGTGTCAAATTATTTATTGACACTCAATTGATGATGTGTATTAGTCAGTTGCTTAGTTGACATTTGTATTTTGATATGTGGTTAAGTTGTTTTAAATTTAATATTTGCACACTCATTTAAACATTATCATATTTATATATAATTGTCCATTAATTTTAGGGCAGTTTACAAATAAGCCCATCAATGGGTACTTATTCATAAAGAGAAATTCTTTTACAAAAAAGTCCACACATGGTCCAGAGGTTTGTAAAAGACTAAGAGCCTGTTTGGCTAAGCTTATAAGCTCCTAAAAACATCTTATAAGATGTTTAAGAGCTTATAAGCTCTTAAAAAGTGTTTGGTAAAAAAATTCGAAAAGATCTTATTTTTTCAAAAAATAAGCTGTTAGGGAGCTTATAAGATGTTTTTAAAAAAGTACTTCCACCCCACCTTTTTTCAATAAGATCTTATTTGATTATTTACTAAAACACTTAAAATACAAAATTACCCTCAAATACTTTATTATATTACATGAATACTAATAACATTTATATTTTATCAAAACAACATATTCTTGTAATCAAGATTAATAATTAGTTAAAATATAATTATCATAATAATTGTAAAAAAAATGTTCTCTATTTATATTTTATATGTATATAAAAATACCCGAATATTCTTATTATCTCAATAATAAATTATATTTCTTTTATCTAGCTATAAAAAAATATACATTTCTTTTACAACCTTTATATTATTATATATTAATATATTAATGGGAGAAAAATTAAAACTTTCACAAATCTGTTTCATTAAAATATTTTATTACACTTCATTTTATTTTAAAAAATTGTCAAATGTCATATCAACATACATAAAAAAATATTTGGTATGTTTAATATATAATTTTATATTATTATTTTTATTTGAAAAATTAATTTGTAAATATCATTATAATAACATTTTAGGAACAAAATTATTTAAGTCGAATTAGTTTGATAGTTATAATGGCGTCATGTACTTTTTTGTCATTATAGTGATAAACAGACCTTTTATTTCCAAACACCTGATTAACTTATAAAAACTAAAATTAACTTATAAGTTACATATCCAAACACCTTAAAAATTAATTTTTAAAATAAGATCTAACAGCTTATCAGCTCCTAAAACATCTTATCAGATGTAGGAGCTTATAAGATGTTTTAAATAAGCTTAGCCAAACGGGCTCTAAAATAGCTCATCATACTTTAATATGCTCAAATTTCATTCTTTAATCTAATATAATCTTAATTTGACCCAAAATTTCACAAATTATTCAATTTTGACCAAAAACATATTTTTATGGACAATTTCGTTAGTCACCGCCGGTCCCCGGCATTGATTTTTTTTTTCTTCGTGATTTTTCCGCCACCGATTTTCGGCGTTGAATTTTTCAAATTTTGTTTTTTCTTCTTTAACACCCCCCAGTTTAAACAACAATGTTGTTGTGATTGACAGTAATATTAACTATATTACTATTAAACAATTATACTACAGTTTAACACAGTAATATTGCTATATTAATCTCTAGCATAGTAATATTAACACAACAAAATTCATTATTATTGTGTAATAGAGTAATATTAATATGTTGAACGTTTAACAAATGTAAACAAAATAAAAAGCCAAAAGAATTAATATTACTGTGAGTGACAGTAATATTACCGTCAACCACAGTAATATTACAATAATAGACAGTAATATTAATTATTACGCTACTCCGTGAATAACTCAAAAAAAAAAAAAAAAAACAAAACACCCAAAAAAATAATAATATTGATGTGGTTGACAGTAATATTACTATAACAACAGTAATATTACCGTCAACCATAGTAATATTATTGTGTTTACAGTAATATTACAATAATAGACAATAATATTATTACGTTACTCCGTGAATAACTCAAACAAAACAAAAAAACCCAAAAAAATAATAATATTGATGTGGTTGACAGTAATGTTATTGTGTTTACAGTTATATACTGTCAACTATTACTGTCAACGACACTAATATAATTACGTTGACTTGTCAACAAATCAAACAAAATTAAAAAAATAACGAAAAAAAATAATAATAATGTCATTGACTCTAATTGTACTGTTAACGGCAGTACAATTACGTTAATGTACTGCTAGTGACAGTATAATTACGTCAATTTACTATCACTGGCAGTATAATTACCGTAAATGACAGCACAATTACGGTCAACGTTTAGCGGCAGACGTACAAAAAAAAACTAAAAAACACTAAAAAATGGCGGAAAAAAACAGACTAGAAAAAAAATTCGAAAAATCAACGCCGAAATCCGGCGGCAAAAAAATATTTTTTGAAAAAAAAAAAAGTTTTTGAAAAGAAAAAGTCAAAATTGGATTTTTATGGTCAAAATTGATTAAATTGGGGTTATAATTAATAATTGGGTGTAAAGGGTTGGCAATAATTTTGTCATATACATGATTTTTTCCTTTATTTATAATAAATATTAAAAGGATGGACTTATTGGTGAAAGAGATATAGTCCCTAAACCTAGAATAATAAAGATTGTTGGTTAGGGACTTATGCGGATAATTACATTTTTGGTCCCTATTGTTTGGACCGATTCCACTTTTGGTCCCCCTTGTTTCAAAGTGAACAAAGTTCACCTCAATGTTTCATTTTTAAACAGATTTGGTCCACTCCGTCACATGGACGTTAGCAATTAACGGAGGAAGTTACGTGCGCCGCACGTGACCCTCAATTAGGTCTGAAAAATGGGAAAAGAACCCCCAATTGCCATTCCCAACATCAGACTTCCCAATTCCCAAAGTTTTCGAAGAACCCTAAATCGTATTCACTTTTCTCGAAAAAATCGATCACTTTCACCAACAATCTTCCCACTAGGGGTGTGAACGAGCCGAGCTCGCCTCTTTTGGCTGGCTCGAGCTCGAGCTCGAGTTTATTTTGTTGAGCTCCTCTTTTTTTGGCTTGAGCTCGAGCTCGAGCCCATTGTTTTTTTTTTTTTTTTTTTTAAATATTTTTTTAATTATTATTTTATTACTAAAAATTATTCAAAAAAAAAAATAAAAAATAAAAACTAAATTGTAATTATATATATTTTTAATATTTGTATTTATTTCTATAATATTTACATTATTATACATTATTTAAATAAAAATAACATATAAAAAATAATAATAATGATAATAATAATAATAATAATAATAATAATAATAATAATAATAATAATAATAATAATAAATCCGGCTCGCGAGCTCATGAACAACTTAAAACCGGCTCGAGCTCGGCTCGTGAGAAAGCTCGAGCTCGAGCTCGAAAATCTCGAGTCCGAGTTCGAGCTTTTTACAAGCCGGCTCTTCGAGCTCACGAGTCGGCTCGGCTCGTTTACACCCCTACTTCCCACTAATTGTTATCCCACCCTAAATCCTTCATAGGCGATATAGAGGAGTGGTCAAGTCGCCATTTTTATCAAGAAGGTTATACGAATCTCGAATTTGCTCCATGTCGCGAAGAAGTTTGCACGCATCAGGATTTACTCCAAATTATGGTAAATGTTCACTAAACTGAACAAGTGTGTGATTTTGAATCACTTATGCACTTTAATTTGTAAACTTCAACAATTTTGTTTTTTTCAATTGTTTGCTTTCAACAATTCTTGGTGAAAAGCTAGGGTGTACTGTTAAATTGTATTATGGAGGGGTAATGAAGCATAGCCCTCAAATGCATTATGTAGGTGGGAATATAGAGTACTTTGATTTTGCAAATGCTGGTAGGATGGAGATGCTTGATCTGTGGGGATATGCAGGGGAATTAGGTTACTTTGACACAGTAAGTTACAAACTTTGGCATAAATATGGAGAAAGTTTGAGTGTGGGCCATTATTTGAAAACTGATGCAGATTTTTCATTTATAAGAAAACACTTACCTGATAACAATGAAGTTGAAATATTCATGGAAGAATTGGGTTTGCAAATTGGTGACATAATACCTATTGTGCAAAGCCAGATAGCATCATCAGTTATCCTTGAAGAACCTACACTATTTGATGAGCCTGTAAATGCAAACAAAGGGAAAAGATTGCAAAAGCTTGTAGATGAGAGTGACGATGATGAGGAGGATGATGACTTTTTATGACAGTGAATATGACTTTGAAGAAGATGATCAGCTGTTTGATGAATATGTTGACCCTGAAGCTGAATTTAATGCCTCTAGAAGTAAGGGTAAGTCTACTTATGTGTCTGATGATGTTTATGCTAAAATGTTGTGTGAAGATGGTGATGATGACTGTGCTGCTAGTGATTCAATGGGTAGTGATGTTGGTTCTGATGAAGAACATTCCATTAAGTACCCTAAATTTAATCCTAAAACTGATATGAAAAATCCTGATTTGGTTTTGGGGATGGTTTTTGGTAGCAAAAAAGAAGCAAAATTTGCAATTGGAACTCACTGTTTAAGAAGAGGGATGAGTGTTAGATTTGGGAAGAATGACAAGGTTAGGCTCAGAGCAACTTGTAGAAATGAGGGGTGTGGGTGGGCAGTCCAGGTTTCACCAATGCAGAATGATTATACTTGGCAAATCAAAAGCTATGTGTCTGAACATAAGAACTGTTATTGGAATTACAATAACAGTAGCCTTAAGTCAAATTGGATAGGTAAACCATTTGTCAAAAAGTTCAAAGATAATCCTAAATTGGGTACAAGTGAGTTCAGAACTGAATTGTGCACCACACTCAAAGCAAATGTGTCTAGATCACAAGCCTATAAGGCTAAACAACACAGGGTACTGTGGAAGAGCAATTCAAATCAATGAGGAATTATAGTGAAGAATTGAAAAGGGTAGACCCCAATCCCACTGTAATTTTGAAGTTAACCGATGATGAAGAAGGTCCAAGGTTCCAAAGGCTCTATATTTGTTTTTCAGCACTTAAAGAAAGGTTTAAAGCTGCATATAGGCCTGTTGTGGGGGTTGATGGTTGTTTTCTAAAAGGGGAGAATGGGGGTCAATTGTTAGCTGCAGTTGGTCTGGATCCAAACAACAACATTTATCCAATCTCTTATGCCATTGTTGAGGGTGAAACAAAGGATATTTGGCTGTGGTTTTTAAAGTTGGTGGATAGTGACTTAGAAATTGAGCAAAATCAGCATACATGGACATTTATGTCTGATAAACAAAAAGGTCTTATCCCAGCCTTTGAGGAATTATTTCAACATGCTGATAATAGATTCTGTGTAAGGCACCTGCACAACAACATGAAGAAAGATGGATTTGGAGGTTTAGCTATCAAACATGCTTTTTGGGCAGCTGCAAAAGCTACTAGGGTGGAGGAGTTTAATAGAAGGATGGAGGAGCTAAAGGAGATTGATGAAAGGGCTTACATTTGGTTGGCAAAAAAATCCCCACACCACTGGACCAGGTCACATTTCAATGCATATCCCAAGTGTGACATACTGTTAAACAACATGTGTGAATGTTTTAACAGTTTCATACTTGATGCTAGGGAAAGACCAATGATACCATTGCTTGAGACTATTAGGAATTTGTTGATGACCAGAATGGTATTGAATAGAGATAAGGTAGAAAATGGGACTCTGCAATCTGCCCTAAAATCAGAAATATGTTGGTGAAAAATATGAAGGATGCTGGTGAGTGTATTCCAATGAGAGCAGATGATTGGCACTACCAAATCATGGGGCCATTTGACCAGCATACAGTGGATATGCAGTTGAGGACTTGCAGTTGTAAGAAGTGGGACTTAAATAGAATTCCATGCAAGCATGCTATTTGTGCCATCTGGTGCAAAAAAGATGATCCTGAAAGATATGTGCACAAATGTTACAGTGTTGAGACATACAAAAAGGCATATGAGAAGTCCATCAAGCCAATCACCAGTGCAAAATTATGGCCTCAATGCAGTCTTCAACCACCACTGCCACCAATATACAAAGAGAAGAAGGGCAGACCACAAAAATTAAAGAATAAGAGAACCAGATGAGCCCCTGCTCTAGGTCAGACAAAGTTGAAGAAATGTTGTAGAACCAATAAATGTAGTGGGTGTGGACAAACAGGACACAATGTGAGGAGATGTGGACAGAGTGGAGGGACACATGAAAGTAGAGCTGAGGAGAATGTTATGGAACCTCCAACCAATCTATCTGACCCTCAACCAACCACTCAAACTCAACCACAACCTCAACCAACCACACAACCTCAGCCTAACAGAAGGGGGAAACATGAGGTTCAAAAAAAAAATCTTCTGATATCTATTTATTGTTATATATATCATATTTATCTTCTAATATTGTATTTGTTTGTGCATGCCAGAAGACCAAGTAATGTTGGAATAAATATAGGACATATGTCCAATGCAACTACTTCAGTGACTGTAAGTTTTTACATTTTTGAAAGTTTAAATTATTTATTGTGAGTCTCATGTATTAATAAACTTTATATTTCATATAGATCAATCAAGGTTCAGCAAATATTCTGGTGAAGGGAGGGGTGAACTACATCACATTGTCCAATTTAAAAGCTTCAGTTGGGAATCAAGACAAAGGGGCATCAACCTCTACTCCTCATTCAATGAGACCACCACTCACAAAGACTCCCCTTCAAGGACTGCACATTCAAGGACTGCACCTGGATCTTTGTCTGCTCTAAGGACAAGATCAACTCCCACCTCAAATCCTACAAGGACATCTACAAAAGAAGATGGCACCTCATCAAAGACTAGATCTGATGCTTCCAGTCTTTAGATCAATTTTATGTTATTTTTGTGTTTTTTGGTTTGAACTATCTGTTTGGTGGTTGATTTTGCAATTTCTGAACTTATGTAACAGAAAGATTTGTTGTGTTTCTGTTACAAGTGTTTGTTGGTTTCAAGTATGTGTTTTGTGCACTGTTGTGTTGGTTTGAACTATGTTGCATTGTTTTGTGAACTGTTGTGTTAGTTTGTGTTATTGTGTCGCTTTTTGATGAATTTATGTGATGTAACAGATTTTTGTTAATTGATGTTTGTTGCTTTAATGGTTGTTTAAACATTTCAATTGTTTATCAAATTCTTTATTTCTGTTCTTTTAATTTCTACACAAATGCATTACAAATTCTGGTTAAATTTATGCACAAACTCAATCTCATTACTAATACACATTGTATTAAGATAATCAAAAGAGCATCCATTATGAAATATTTCGGCAAATTTTACAAAATATCCAATATCCAAAATAGAACATAACAACAAGCATAAGCTCTACATCAGTTCTGCAAATTTCTTCTCATATTTGGGCTTGCACATGAGTTGGATTGTTATAAATAGAAGAAAAATAACAAGATATGCCATCATCTTCATCTTCCTTTGTGTCTTCTTGTACAGTTCAAGCTCAACTTGTATTTTTTTTTCTTTCTCCAGTTTCATTTTCTCTTCCAATTTGTCCAATTTGTTCAACAATCCAGGAATGATGTTCTTGCATCTTCGACAAACTTCTTTGTCCACCCACTCAAAATAGCCACAATATGATGGGATCTAGAAAAACAAATCAATTAAAGAGCAAAAAGAAAAGCAGAAAATATGTAAAAAAAATCGTTTTTTTTTTTAAATCAACTCACCGTATAATTTGGGCATGCCTGGAATTTTCTCCTAGGGTTCTTTTCCGACCATGAAGTAAGGGTTGAAAGCTCAAAACCACAACGATAAGTAACAATTTCGAGTGGGAGGGACCACCCATTTCGTGAGCCAATATTGCTTCGATTGTGTGAGCTTCCACTTGAATTTGTCGATCGGCTTCCCATGATGGAGATGAATTTTGAATTTCGGTGAAGATGATCATCAAATATGCTGGTTTGGGGGGAATTATGGAGATAATTAGGGCATTGGGTTTTTAAATAATTGGGGAAGAAGGTGAAAATTGTTGGGAATGGCAATTGGGGTTTCTTTCCCCGTTTTTCAGACCTAATTGAGGCTCACGTGCGGCGCACGTGACTTCCTCCGTTAATTGCTAACGTCCATGTGACGGAGTGGACCAAATCTGTTTAAAAATGAAACATTGAGGTGAACTTTGTTCACTTTGAAACAAGGGGGACCAAAAGTGGAATCGGTCCAAACATGAGGGACCAAAAATGTAATTATCCCGGACTTATGCACAAAATCCCCTTATTTTTATATTTAAAAAAGTCAAAAAATATTGTTTTACTTCATTAATTTTCCGTAATGTAATATTTTGATTGCTTTTTTTTTTCTTCCTTGTATTTTTTATTATTTAAATCGTAAAATAAAGATTTATGTTAATAAATTTATTAATTTAAATATACATTTGAATAGTCTATGATTTTTTAGTGCATTTGATCAATTTATGATTTTTTTTAGTGTAGTTGAATAATTGAAAAAGTACAATCAAATTTTATTTCTTTTGAACATTTTGTAATATCCGAATATAATTTGAATAATTTATAAAAAATATTTTTTATGTTTATATTACAATAAAAAATGCAGTTTTTTTTTTAAACATTTACTAATGGGTGATGATAAATGCACGACGTGTTTTAGTAAATGTAGAACATTTTATTTAAAAAAAATCAAAAGCTAATATATCTCCCATTTTATTTTGTCAAATCCCTTTCTTTTCGAAGTTTTTAACGACACTGAAAATATTACATGAAGAGTTTTAGTAAACATAGACACTTTATTTAAAAATTCAAAGCATAATATCTCTCATTTTATTCTTTCAAACTCTTTTTTATAAGTCTCCATCAACAATTTGGAAGAATATTACACAATTAATCATCATTAATCACCAAGAACGTGGATTTATTGATTTTGGAGGATGATACATTTGAAAGTGCAATTGAAAGTGAGGTAAAGAATCATTTCGGTGCGAACAAAGTTTCTTGTTTTATGTGCAAAATTTCCATTTTTTATGTTTTTTCTTGCCAAATTTTATAATATATATTAATCTTGTTACTAATTTGGACCATGATCATCTCGAGACGTTTAAAGAAGTCGATTATAATGAATATTTTTCATCTGACAAAATATTTTGTAGGATAAACGAATTTAAACGAATTTGAAGGGTTTATTCGGATGTGCTTGAGATTGGAAATTGTAGAGAATAGATGTAGTTTTGTAAATAAAAATGAAAAATATTGGATGAGAATTAATTTTTATATTAAAATGTCTGTAGCTACTAAAATACGTTCTAAAGTAGGGATACAAATAAAAATTAAAACAGAGTCTGCATTTACTAAAAGCCGTTCTGCATTCCTCATTTCACTCTACTAATAATATAAGAACAATGTTTTTACAAATCATCAATAATTCAAATGAATCTATCAATAAATTAATTTATTAAGATATATGGAAATGATTAAATATAGAATATATTATTGATTGATATATATTTTATCATCAATCAATTAAAAGTCAATCATTTTATATATTTTGATCAAGGTTGTAAAAAGCGGTAATTGGGTCGGAGACGGCCATGGACCGACTCACGATTAATCGGTGCGGCGGTGATTAATCGGTGATAAATCAGAAATAAATCGATTTTTAAAATTTAATATAATATATTTATAGGTATTATTTATAAATACTCAAAATATAGATAAAAACATATTTAAACATAGTTATATCTCTATCATGTATATATCCTAATAAAATAATAAAAGTTTAATAATAATAAGATCATAATACATAAATATCCTTATAAAATATAAATAAAATGTTTTTTTTTTGAATTTACATACATTCTTAGCATACATCATTAGTTCTTTATTAATAATGGTTAAGATAAACAAAATAAAGCATGAACTCATTTTTTTTTATTAAAATCCCAACTTTTATTTTGTATTATAAAAAATAAAAAAGATAAAAAAAAAACTAATTTTTGGCTGATTTTTGCACCGAAGTTTGACCCGCCTTAAAGGTTTGACCGCCTCGGGCCGCCTAAAACCGCCTCAGACCGCCTAAAACCGCCTCACAAGCAGAAAATCGATTTTTCAAACATTTACACTAAAATCGTAAAGGTTTTGTACCGCCTCCGCCTCGGAGACCGATTAATCGACCGCCTCGGCCGATTTTTAGAACACTGATTTTGATAAGGGGGTGGAAAAAAAATGCCAATTGCCATATAACACGGGAAACCAACCAAAAATTACCGAAACATTACCAAAAGAACGGTTACCAATGTGTCCGGTATGGTATTACTACCATACAACTATATTGCCGTACAATAGCGATATTGAATTTCTAATACCACGGTAATACCGTACCATACCGTACATTATATTTTATAAATTAACTAATATTTTATATGATTTCCTACTTTATAAGATTTAATAACCAAGAATATAAATGACTAAGCTACTTAATGTTATTACACAAGTTAAAACCTACGAGTAAAGATTTTAATAGCACTAATTATAGCACATGAAAGAGATAATTCAAATTTATTTTAATAGCATTAATCATAGCACATGAAATAGATAATTCAAATTTTTTTTAATAGCATTAATCATAGCACATGAAAGAGATAATTCAAATTCTTTTTCGTGAAGATATGAAACACTTGTTCAACATTCTTATTCGACTCACACGAGTTACATTGTATAAAAATGAATTGGCGAAGCCCTTTAATGTGGCCAAAAAAAATTATGTTTTTGATTAACACCATTTAAGTCTATCTCTAATTAATAATTGGTGGTGGAATATCAGGTACCAATCATACTGTACCGAAAGGAACGGTATACAGAATATTGGTGCTGGCACCAGATTCTCAAGATTAATATAAAGAATCGAGTTGCTTGGTGTAGAAGATTATCATTGATTTTATTCCATGTTTTTTGTTAGGCAATTATTTAGTTCATATCCCCTAGAGATTTTATTGTATAGGACTATATTTATTTCCTAATTATTTGCATTAAATTAGGAAAGATATATAAAGATTATTCCTTATCTAATTTAGGTTGTAGAAATCATGAATGATTCTATTTCCTTAGGATTGATTTTTTAGGACTCAAGTTAAGTTTAGGGTGGTGAATTTCGTGCCTATATAAAGCCGTCAACCTCAGATGAGTTTCATGGAAGCTTTAATAAAAAAATCCCAGCATAAAGGCTTTGAAGGGTGCAGCCGGTGCTACAGCCGTATCTGCACGTCAGGTGTGGCAACATGACGCGTTTCTTCTAGCAGGCCATAAATAAGATTGGCGTTTCGGAAGAAGTGCTCAAAAGATCTCGAGAGAGGTCGATCCACCATCTGAAGTGAGTTCAGCATTGGAGGGAGTCCAAGAGTGTGGAGGAAGAACTGCTAAGAAGATCAACAAGTTCGAGTCGTGTGCAAGAATGACATATAACATAGAGAGGGAGTATTTAGTATTTTTTTAAGTTCAATATTGTACACTTACATCTGAACTAGTGAAATCTTGTTGCAGGTCCTCGTGGATGTAGGGTACATTTGTATCCGAACCACATTAAATTCTTGTGTTTTTTATTCTTCTTTAAGTAGTTTAATTCTCTATACACACAAGAATTACGTTGCAACATCAAATGTCTTAACAATTAATCCATCTCAATAGAACGTGTTGATTTTCATGGACATATAAATCAACAGTTGGCATCAAGAGCCGGTCACTAGATATACTTAGTATCTGACTATGGGAATTTTTTTATTTTCTTTGCTTATTCTAGGATGCATGTTCACAAGGAAAGTTGAGATGAAGTTGAGAAAAGTTTGTCACAATATTTACCCAATTCCGCTGCGTTGTAACATGCCCCCATGATGGGACACTCTGATATAAGATAGAGATGGGTGAATAAATATGACAATAACTGCTTTTCCATTATAATTTCTCTTAATATGTACTGACTTGTGATACTTTGTTAACGCTCTGCATGTTTTAAATGATAAGATGCGTGCAA